TTGCTTTTTTTTTTTTTTTTTTGGTACCGGAGATCAAACTCGGGACCTTGCACTTGTGAGGCAGGTGGTAGAACCACTAAGCTAAACCCCAGCCCTGTAGCTTTTTAAAATATACATTGCATTGTTGTTATTTGTTTTTACCCTGCTGTACCACTGGACACAGAACGTCTTACTCCAGCCCTAACTGTAGCTCAGTACCCATGGATCAACCTCTCCTCATTCCTGCCTCCCTAATTCTTTCCCCAGCCTCTGGAATCTACCATTCTACTTTTTTTCTCCCCTTCTTTTCTGTATGAGACAGACATGCTGGCCTTGAATTCACTCTGTAGCCTAAGGTGGCATCAAACTTACAATCTTCCTGCCTCAGCCTTCCAAGTGCTGGAGTTACAGGCATGCACCACCTCACCTGGCTTCATTCTTCTCTTATTTCTTTGAGATCATCATGTCTGATTCCACATTTGAATGAGATCAGGTGGCATTTGTCTTTCTGTCCTTATTTAATCTAATGTAAAAGTCACTGCAGTTCTGTCCATGTTGTCACAAATAATAGGATTTCATTACTATATGGCTGAGTAGTAAGTTCCATAAGTACCATATTTTTAATTGATTCTTACTTGATGGAAGTTGACTCCATATCCTGGCTTTTTTGAATAGTGCTGCAATAAACATGGGAGTATAGATGACTCTTCAACATACTGGTTTCATTTCCTTCGGTATACCCAGAAGAGGAATTTCTGGGTCACACATTGTTCTATTTTTTTATTTTTTGAGGAACCTCCATACTGTTTTTCACAAAGACAATTTTAACACTTACACTGACCAAGTGTAAATGTTTCCTTTTCTCTACATTCTCAGTTAGCACTGTACTTGTGAGCTAGCTATGGTGGTACACACCTGTAATCCCAGCACTCTGGGAGGCTGAGACAGGAGGATCCCACGAGTTGAAGACCAGCCTGAACTACATAGTGAGACCTTGTCTCAAAAAAAAGTGCTTACTTGTTATCTTTAATTTTTTTTTTTTGAAACAAGGTTTTGCTATGTAGTACACTGTGTAGCCTAGGCTGGTGTTGCCAATCTCTTTAGTCTTTTTTCTTGCTTTTTTTTTTTTTTTCTTTTTGGTACCAGAGATCAAACTTGGGCCTTTACACTTGCGAGGCAAACGGCAGAACCACTGAGCCAAATCCCTGGCCCATGGTCTTTTTGATGGTAGTCATTCTTAGTGAGGCAAGATGATAGATATCTCATTGTGGTTTTCATCACTAATGATAGGTGATACTGAACATTTTCTCATACATATTGTCCATTTTTATGTCTTCTTTTGAGAAATGTGTAGTTCAGTCTGTTGTCTATTTAGACTATGTTTTTAAAGCCTCCTCAATTTTCAATTTGCAAATTAGGGTGTAATGATCACTAACATTCATCTTAGTACAAATAAAGTAAGATGTAGTAGCTGGCCCCTTTTGGTCATGTATTATTCAAAAAAGTAACTTGTTACTGCTATGGGTATCTTCTGATGATATAGTAAATTTTTAGGGAGGTTATCAGAGTGAAGCCAGGAATCATTTCATTTATAAATTTATGACATTTTAAGGAAATCTATATTACTAATAGGTTTCCAAATTTTAAAACATTTTCACAGAAATAGCATGTTTTGAAGAAAATTTTTTTTAAATGTTAAGTATTACAATGAAATGGAAGAATTTCCTTCTTGAAAAGTAAGATTGAAGCTAGGCGTGGTGGTGAAGCCAGGTATGGTGGCACATGCCTGTAATCCCAGCACTCAGGAGGCTGAGGCAGGAGGATTGCTGTGAGTTCGAGATCAGGCTGGGCTACATAGTGAGTTCCAGGTCAATCTCAACTATGTAGTGAGACTCTTTCTCAAAAAACCAAAATTTTTAAAATCTTTAAAAAAAAAAAAAAAAAAAAAAAAAAAAAAAAAGTAAAATTGAAAAGTCGTAAAATTGTGCAGCTGGCCATGGTGCCACTCATATGCACTCCTAGCTACATGGGAGGCTGAAGTGGATGGATTGTGAATTCAAGGCCAGCCTGGGCCACTTAGCAAGATCTTGTCTCAAAAACAAACAAACAGAAATCGTGATGTTGTTTTAATGTGACCTATGTGTCCATCGACGATGAATAGATAAAATGTGGCACACGTACTCACTCGTGGAAATCTTATCATGTGCAACAGCATGAATGAACAGGGGAGGCATTCTGTTAAGTGAGATATAAGCCTGTCCCAGAAAAGCAAATAAGGTGTAATCTCATTTATATGTGGAATCAGAAGAAACATACAGAAGCAGAAAACAATGGTGGTAACCAGGATCTGGGAAGGAAAGGGTTGGGGAGATATTGGTCAAATGATACTGTGTTAGTCACCTCTCTATTGCTGGGGCAAAATGCCTTTCATGCGGAACTTAAAGGAGAAAAGGTTAATTGGGCCTCATGGTTTCAGAGGTTTCAGTCCATGGTTAGGTGTCTTCAAGGCAGAAACATCATGGCCAGAAGGCATGGTGGAGTAGAGCTGCTCAATTCCTAGAATCCAGGAGGCAGACAGCAGGCAAAGAGCCAGAGGAGACAGAGACCAGATATAATCCCTAAATCCACACTCCCATGAGCAGTCCAGACACACCCACAAATGTGCTTTACTGATTAATCTCCGAGACATCTCTCAAGCCAGTCAGTCATGGTGACAGTGAAGATTGACAAGATGGGCGTGGTTGCACACACCTGTAATCCCAGCACTCAGGAGGCTGAAGCAGGAGTATCATGAGCTTTAAGGCTAGGCTAGGCTACATAACAAGTTTGAGACCCTGTTTCAAAATACACATTGGAAAAAAAAAAAAAAAAAAAAAAAAAAAAAAAAAAAAAAAAAAAAAAAAAAAAAAAAAAAAAAAAAAAAGCAAGGGCCAGGGGTTTAGCTGACTGGTGCCACCGCCTGCCTAGCAAGCACACAGTCCTGAGTTCGATCCCAGGTACCAAAAAAAAACAAGATGCAAGTATTTGATCTCACGTGTATGTATTCATTTGTTTGATTTAACAACTCTTTTACATATATTTCAAAGCATCATGTTGTATATCATAAATATATATAATTTCTATTTTTAAATTATAATAATTTAATGAGATTAAAAATGTAACCAGACACAGTGCCACTCTCCCATAATCCCAGCACTTGGCAGGCTGAGGCCAGAGGATCAAGAGTTCAAGGCCAACCTGGGCTACATAGCAATACCTTTTATCAAAAACCAAAGCAGAGGGTAGGGGAGAGACGGAGAGAAAAAGGGAAGGAGGAAGGAAAAATTTTTTAAGTTTTAATACAATCTGTTAAATTATCCTCTAAAATGATTTTACCAGTTTATACAATTTCTTTTCTCTGTCAGGAAGCTCAGGAATTTTGGACAGGATCAGAGAGCCTCAAGTCTTTACCTTGGGGGAAGGGTGTGTTTCCACAGAGCGTGTTTATTGTGGGAACTGTAAGAGACTGCGAGACTGAGACTTCCACTGCTGCGTGACCAGCCCTCTAATTCGTGGGTCCCTCCCTTTAATTAGTTTCTCCTTCTCTTCAGGTCCACGGGCAGAAGGCTGCTTGGGAGGACCCAGTGGAGTGGGTCCGGGACACTCTTCCCTGGCCATCGGCCCAGCAGGACCAGTCGAAGCTGTACCACCTGCCCCCACCCACTGTGGGCCCTCACAGCATTGCCTCACCTCCGGAGGATAGGACAGTCAAGGACAGCACCCCGAGTTCTCTGGACTCAGACCCGCTGGTGAGTAGAAGCCATTTGAATGTGCAAAGAACCACAACAGAACTGAATTCTTCACAGAGTTTCAGCAAGGCCAGAATCAAGAGGCCAGAGAAGAGCTCTAAATATCAGAATCTTTGATTAGAAAGGCCATCCTCCTGAGACCCAGTTTAGGCTAAATAATACACATCCCACTGAAGTTCCATGCAGATCCCATGTGGGAATAACTGACAAAGAAATACAGCAAGAAAACACTCAGCACTCTGTACTTCTGCCTCTCCCCTGGTTCTGTCCTGAGGGTTGCTGCAGCTAAGTGGGTCCACAGAACCCCTGTGGACAGCAGGTGGCAGTGGGTGACAGACTGGTGGGGCCCCCGGGTGTATCTCCACGGTGCTTATAGCCAAAAGAAGATTGATTAGTAGAATGCATAAAATGTCAAAGAAAACAGACATAGCATATAAACAGGCTAGAGGAATTACAATAAAATGCAATAACAACCTTAAAAACTCTCCAACCTCTCTGAGAATGAAGGAAAGAAAATTAAAACAAGGAAATATTGTTTCACATTGGCAAAAAATAGTGTAAGTGGGAATTTTCCCGCTCTGCTTGTGGGAATGTTCATTGATAAAACCATTCTGGAAGATAATTTAGTAGGTTATATTAAATCTCAACGTACACAGTCCTGTGGCACAACCATTTTATTCAGTTGCCAGGCATGGTGTATGCTTATAATCCCAGCACTATAGGAGACTGAGACAGGAGGATCGCAAGTTCTAGCCCAGCCTGGGCAACTTAGTAAGACTCAGTCCTCAAAAATTAAAAACTGGCATATAGCTCATTGAAAAAGCCCTGGGTTTAGTGTCCAGGACCACCACATACATACACATAAAAAAAACATTCCAGGGCCAGCCAGGGATTTAACACAGTGACACTGCACCTAAATTGAATCTCCAGTAACCCCCCACCAAAAAAATACCAGTTGAGTCACATTTTTATTTAAATTTTAACTTTGTTTTTAAAACAGATGTTATTGTGTTTAAAGTACATTTAAATTGGAAAACTAATAATAATTAAGTAGATAGAAGAAGGTGGAAGGCAGCTTTTTTATTACTTAGCTAAAAAAAGAGTTCCAAACTTGAAGTATCAGGGGGAAACAATAGGTAAAGAGAAGGAGCTGCCAGGAAAAGTGGCTCTTGACTGTCCTCACCGCCTGACCGTGTGGCCCACTTCTATAATCCTTTGGAGACTGAGGCAGAAAGATCACAAGTTCAAGGTCAGCCTGGGCAACTTCATACTAGACCCCATCTCAACATAAAAACTCAAAAGAGCTGAGGTTGTAGGTCAGTCATGGAGCTCTTACCTGGCGTTCAGGAGCCAATCCCCAGTATGGGATGAAGACAGCGAGGGGAATAGGAGGTAAAAATTGTGTGGACTCGACATAGGCTTTGTGAGCTGGAAAGAAACGGTTTCATAATAACACAGACCTTTGCTTTTGGGTTATAATCTATCGCGAGAGGGATTGTTAGAGACACGTGTTCCTACGGGGCAGGCTAGGACTGTGCAGACCTGCTGTCCTCCCTGGAGCACAGGCAGCAGGCAGGTGAGGCGGAGGTGGTCCCATGCTCTCGGTGTCCTCCTCCCACACAGATGACAGGTAGCACTTTGTACAGCAGATGTACATGAAGCAATCATCGCTGTTTTCTTTCATGAACTACCTCTGCACCAAGCTCCAAGTCACTTTCAAACCAAGCATCAGACCCACGATCTAGGTGTTTTGTTTGCCCTCTGATGACAAGACTCCGTGTCCCAACTCTCGTTAACCCACCTCTTTCCCCTCTCTAGATGGCCATGCTGCTTAAACTTCAGGAGGCTGCCAACTACATTGAATCTCCAGATCGAGAGACCATCCTGGACCCCAACCTCCAGGCAACGCTCTGAGGGTCCAAGAGTCACTGTCACCCCGGACAGCAGGAGGCTGGCGTCAGCTTCGTTAGCTCCTCCTCTCCCCTCTTCTCTCAAAGCACTGGCTCTCCGGCCCTGGGAGGAGAACAGGAGGGAGGAGGGAGGCAGGAAGAGGGGCAGGTTCTTGGTGCTGCACTTTTGAGAACTTCCTAGTAGGGATTTGGTGGGGTGGCGTTTGGGAACTTGTGTCACCTAAACACATTGACTGGCCTCCTCTCGTGACTTTGGGGAAAAGATGATTCTGGGTCTTTGCCTTGTTTTCTTGTTCCAATTACAAACTCCTGGGCTTTCTGAGGAAGGGTTCAGAAGACATCAAAAGACTGCAGCAGTTCCTAGCTAATTCTCACAAGCAACTCTGAGACAGACACAGGTGGGGACGTCAGAAGGCTCAGAAGCTTCGCTTGCTGACTTTCTCGCAGACCCTTCCCAATTCTGTCACCACTGCCAACAGCTCTTCCCCCAGAGATCTGGCTGGAGCCCAGAAAAGAAGCATGTGGTTTTAAAAAATGCATAAATCAACCTGTAAATGGTAACGGGCAATGGAAAAGATGAAGCTGGAGAAAGGGGACCCAGTTGCCAAGGCAGAAAGAGCTGCCAGCTTTTGCCTTCTGGATGACATAGGGGATGTTGACAAGATGGCTGCCAATCTAAGAAGTCACCAAACCACAAAAGTGACATTACAGCCCTCAGAGAAAGACTACTGGCTCTGTCTCCGCCTTCTAATTTAACATGCATGAGAGTCAATAAACCCTACTTTTTTATTTTTTATTTTTTAATTTGTTTCTATTTTTTCTGCCATTTGCCTATTTATTTTTCTCTCCCTCTCCCCCATTTCTTCACACATCCATGAGATACTTGAGTTGCTTTTCCAGGGGCTGGACTGGCTTTGCCATGTGGGCTTTCTATGGAGAATCTGATGCCATCTAATTGGTACCAGCTAGACACCTGCCATGCCACCATCTTTGGCATCCTCGGGGCTTACATAAGACATAAAGTACCAGCTCACCAGTAATGGGAGAAGAGGCACTCAGTTACCTTGACTTTCCTTTTGGAAAAACACATGTTCTGCCTGGGAGCTCAATTACCAACCTCTGGCCTAACAAGATCTGTTCTGAGCTTCATTGTGGACTGGAGGAAAACCTGGAGCTTGGAAATGCTCCTCTGTCTTGTAGCCCATTTGCCAACTCACTGCACTATTTGAACGGTAGCCACTTTGCCTGACTGAATCGGAATTCCCTGAATCAGCCTTTAATTATGTATTTGTTGCTGATAGGTGAATATTCACTTATTAGAAACTGAACATACACATGCGATACTCCAAATATGAATACAAAGTTCAAGGAGTTTGATTTCATGGTGAATATCTGCCTTCCAAAGCAATCCTACTTCTTATAAAAGTCATCCTTTTCCTACAGCCCTGAAAGTATGGCAGTCCACGCTCCTTCTTTGGACAAGTACTTACTGAATACTTAAATTTGTGTACCAGTCACTAGATGAAAAACAAAAGACAGACCTTGGGCCCCGAGGTTCATGGTCCTAGGAATGTTTGGAGTGGGTGCACACCCACTGTGTTATCTGGACCTTGAGGATCATCTAAGAAGTGGAGCTGAAACTCACAAAGAGTCAGCTAAAAGGTAGCCTTTGATTGGATGTCCAATATACTGGGGACAGAAGATCTGGGATCGATCAAGATGTGGAGGACCATGGGATCTTGCTTGTCTGGAGTGGGCAAGTCTACTCCTGCTGTTTCTGAAAGCCCTAAGGGACCAGATTCCAGGCCCGGTTGCCCAAAAGGCTGAATTTCAGGGCTCTTGCGGATCAGGGAAATGTGATGACACTGGAATTGAGTGTTTGCTCTTCAGATTCCTAAGTAGCACAAGACTTCATCAGAATCTATAGGCATACTAACTTGGATTGCTGTTCCACCAACCAACCTAGGAGTAGACACATACAGATCTTATGTCAGAATATTTTCCTTTATGTCAACAAGATGGTCTGCACCCTCAGAAAAGCTCTGTAGTCTCATCTGATGGCACCCAGGGATGACAGGGTCCTCTGTGCAAGAGGACTGTAGTTGCTCTTGCTGCTAATCCCCATGAGCTGTAAAGACCAACCAACTCAGCTGTAAAATATGCAATCTGTGGTGGGAAGAGGCCGTTTGTCCATGGATGGTGCTGAAATCACTGCCTTAAGGTCTCTGCTATGCAGAATGAGGAGGCCCCAGGGCTGGGTGTTCCAATTTGAAAGGCAGGGAAGACTAGACAGGCCTACTTTGGGCATAGGCCTCTTCTAAACCCCATCCTAAACTCCAGACCCATGGTAAGGCTCAGACTTTTAATGCCACCTTCACCCGATGGTTGAGCCCCTAGCTCTTTTCTGGTGCTGCCCAGCCAGTGCCTTCTGACATGGATGTTACTGGCTACTTGAGGAAAAGGAAGGGGGTGAACCCCTCCTTCCGTTCCAACTGCCTCAGATCACAGAAGATTCTTGTGTCTCTGGTAACCATGGATACCACCATGAATCTTTTTGGATCCTTAGCAGGTTGTTTCTGGAGGCCTCTCATGTTAGGACTTTTCATTTCTCTTCCTGGGATTCGCCGCCAGTCTACTCTCAGTTCATTGCTGCACTTAGCCCAGGTCTCTCATTGCTTTCCTCCAGAAAGTGTGTTCCCATCTGGTAAAGTGGCAGCAAAGCCTCAGATTTCCCTCTGGAGCCTGAGAACCTGTTTACAGTTGCACATCTGGGCCTCTGGTGGTGGGGACCGATGGTCTCACAAAGGAATCGTGGTTATGTGGCAACTGCAGAAAGTTGAGCCTCCTCATGGTGCTATAACCCCTTGGGGTGCTCATCCAGACTTCTCTGAAGCATAAAAACCAAGCTGCCCCCTCGCTGCCCTAGAATTAATGGCAAGGAACAAAACCACAGCACTGTTTCCTGCCTACCCATCTACTTCTTGGTTGAGACTTCTGGGATCCCAAGGAAGAGGAAAAACTGGGTCCTCTAGCTAAATTCTCAACCCCCAAGCACCTTCAGAAAAATCCAGCCTAATTCCGGATTTTGTGCTATTCTGTTCCTATCCAGCCCCCAACTTCTTCCTCACCAAAGCTGGCTAGTAGAGAGCAAGGTTTAATGCTTGACATCAACCCGAAGAGAGAGCCACAGCTCCAGGAGAGGTTCCTCGGCAGAGACCCTCTCACTTCTTGTGAAGAAGACCAACAAGATGTGTCCAATGTATTTGTTTCTCAGTCCCTGCCTAGGTACTAAAAATAAAATACTAGGTAATTGGAGGCTAATATGGGACCTGATGTCTCTGTGTGTGTGTGTGTCCATCCCAGTGTGTCTGTGACACAAGAGCACTTTCCTGTTGCTGTTCCCTATCTTCTGAGGCTTCATAGAGTATTTTTTAAATATCCATGCTTTGTGGCATCTCTACGGTGCTTATTTTTGTCTTCGTGTAAATCTTGATTACCAGTGTCCTTCATCTAGTCTAACCATTGGTAAGGTAGAGGCTGGCAGGGAAAACTACCTAAAAGTCCATGATGACGCCCTGTATAGTGATGTCCTTATTGGTTGGGATAGTACATTTTGGTCTTGAATGACCAACCTTCTATCTGTACTCCTTAAAAACTTAAAACAAAGTGATTTTTTTTTTCATTTCTTTCATTCTGGATTTCCTGCCTTGCAAGAGTCATAACGGACCAATCTCACCACGAGCTTACTTCTAGCTCCCTGAGGCAAAAGTCACAATACTCAGAGGCACACCCCCTTCCACTGGTCTGAGAAGTAACAATTTCCCGTGGAATTCCAAAAGAGTAAGAAGCCAGCAGCTGTAGCCTGCTGTTTCTCACCGACAGCTCACGTTACCTGGAATATGGCACACAGGTACAGCAACCTGGCACATGGGTAAATGTGGCCTGATTTAATGGGACTCAGTCCTGCAACCAGGATCAAAGAGATACTTACATGAGGCCTAAGGATTCTTTCTTCCAAGCTTATGGAAGAAATCCTGATCACACATTGAACACGGGGTTCAGATACTGAAGCACCCCACACTGTCAAATGCAGCTCATCACACTTTACTTTTCTTTCCTTAATGCTTCGGATTAGCTAAACTGAAGCTAATAAGTAGACTGTATAAGCCAACACCCCCTGATAGCATGAAAAACTACTTTTGCAGAGGGTTTACTAATGGAAATGGATATACCATTGAAATGAATGTTAGTGCACTCTTGGGATGACCATAAGAACTACTTAAATTCTGGTTAGTAGCCCCACTGAAAAGGCCAAAGAATATACTGTCCTTTATAACTGAATCAACCATAAACATACACACACACACACACACACACACACACACATATGTCTTTTGTTTTGTACCGGGGATCAAACTCAGGACCTTGCGCTTGTAAGGCAGGTGGCGGAACCACTGAGCGAAATCCCCAGCGCTCAACCTTACATATTAATGAGTCCTCCCTTAGTGTGCTCCGGGATATATGGATCCTCCAACTTACTCTGCCCACTGCAAAAGGTGTATGTGCCTGTCTGCTCCACCTAGACTCTGAAGCAACTACCGTGGCCATAGATCCTAGGGAAGCTGGACTTAAGTGGAAAGTCCTACAGCCTTGAAGTAAGGAAACCGATTGGATTTCAAAAGCTACAGTTGAAACTGGCCAAGACAGTTAAAAGTTGAGCTTATTTATACTGGCTCTATCTTGATGTTTGCCATTTTTCTTAGTGATTATACCACGGAGAATTTTCTGCAGCAAAGGTGATCATGAAAAGTGGTTTCTTGATTCGACCATTCACTCTTAAAAGCAGTGGTGCTCAAAGGTTCATTCCAGGGCCAAGGATTTAGCTCAGTGGTTCCACTGTCTGCCTCTCAAGTGCAAGGTCCCAAGTTCAATCCCTGGTGCCCCCCCCCGAAAAAAGGGATCGTTCTGGACCAACAGCATCTGTGAACTTGTTAGAAATTAAATTCTGAAGCCCACCCTGGATCTATTGAGTCAGAAACTAGGGCTTACAAAGAAAAAAAGTGGGCTAAGGCCCAGCAATCCATGCTCTTAACACCACCCCGCATGCAGTGGATTTGACATATGCTAATGTCTGAGATTCGACCATTTTAAAGGCACAGCTACTCTGGCTTTAGGAACAAAAATAAGAAGGTCCCAGGTTATAAATCATATGTTAACATTAATTTTTAAAGTCATTTTTTTTCCTACTTCCTTATGTTTCTGTTTTTGCTTCTTTTAAATTATCAAAAGAAACAATGTGTACTTTGGGGCAAAAGTTAGGGAAGTACATGCATCTTCGCTACTTGAATGCAGTCTTCAGAGTTCTTATCCCTGAAATTACTATATGGCAAACTAAGGAGCTTCAGCAGAGCAAAGGATTTTCTCTAGGTTGCTCTTGTGTCTACTGAGTTTCTGATGATGTAATAGGGTTGACAGAAAAGAAAACATCTAAGTTGTATTTCCATGATAAAATATTCTCCCAGCAACAGAATCTCTCTCTTACTCGAGGTATAAGGTGCACTGCTAGGCCTGAGCACCACCCAGAACCTTCTCCAAGGCAGCTAATATTAGGACTCCAGTATTCCAGGAAGCCCTGAATCTATGCTCCACTCAGGGCACAGGAAAGAGTTCCACTCTGAAGACACGGTAGTGGGCACTTCAGTCCTTAGGCTCATTTCTTCCTTTCCTCACACTAGGACCTGGGTACAGAACTACTCAGCAAAAGTGACAGAATAAAATCCTTGTAAAAAGAAATCTGAAAGGAACTTCATATATTTCCAAACTTACAGACCAGCTGATAGGGCCATGGGGAGGATGAGACTTCAAAACTGGCTTTGTTTCATGTTGGTTGGTTTTCCCTGTGAGAGAGTTTGGGGACTGAGCACAGAGAAACATAGTGGTACTGATTCTCCTGAGCTGTGGCACTAAGCACTGGGAGGACTGGCACCTGAGGGAGACTAGAGCAAAATAACTGCACTAAAATCACCCCTAGTCCCCAGAAGGCCCATGATAGGTCCTCTGCCATCTCTTGCCCGGTCATCCTACTTCCCTGCCATTTTTTTTTATGAGGAAGATCAATAAGATAAGGAACAAGCCCACAAATCACAGCCAGTCTCTGGGCTACTGCTGTGCAGTGCCCACCCACCAGTTCCTAATATTTTTTTTTCTTTCTTTCTTAAGTAATCACTTTCTTCAATGACTTCCAGCCCCTGCTAGCATCCTTTCCTTCTCCTCCCCATCCCACTTTAGGCAGCACTGTTTATGTGATGGAGTCTGTTTCTCGAATGCATGACATTCCTCAGGTGGAGGGTGGGCAGGAATTTTCACATCACTTTAATTTATTGGGTGCAAAACCCCGAATCAGGATATGTGTCTGTCTGTGTGTTTATGTTTTTTTTTTTTTTTTCCTCATTTGACCCTCACCTCTTCTACCCCCTTTTATATCAAATTGTAGAAAAAGCAAAGCTGCATCTGGAAAGCAAACCATTGTATATAGTTGCGGTAACAATCATGAAGAGATCTGGGTTGTCCCCTCAGTAATTCATTTTAAATAACAAATTGGTTGAAAATTAAATTCATGCCTGGGCCAGCTGAAGAGGCCCTCTCCGTCATCTCAGAGGCTCTCCAGTGGGCCCTTTGCCCATCTGGCATGTCTTCCCAGCTAGATTCATCTGTTCGATGCCATTTGCGTTTCAATAAAGTTATCTCCTGTATTGTCACTGGCTCTCTCTAGCTCCCTCTCTGCCTGGTCTCTGTCTCCATGTATTTTATGGCCCATTGCTTGAACTGGAAGCTGAGATTGCTGTGGTCATTTGCCTAACACAGAAACAAAACTCACTGGCCTAAAAAATGTCTGAATCCCAAATCTGAAGCAAGAGTCAAGTCCTTTGGTTGGGAGTGGGGGGACCCCATTTTGCACATTGTAGTCATAGTATCCACAAGGATTCAAAACATCCAGCCTGAAAGTCAGGACTCTTGAGTCCTCCATCATACCAGCCTCTGGACAAGCATAAGTTTTCTTTTTGAGGTAAAAGCAAATTGACCTAGAAGAAATGAAGCTGTGCCAATGATATTCTGCTTCTCTTGGCCACCTGGAAGAGGGGAAATGTGTCTTACAATTCTCCATTGTGGAGCTGTAGGTCCAAAAAGCAGTGTTTTCTCTTAAAGTGTTGTAAGAAGCCACCTCAACCCTCCTAGCAGATGGTGACTAATACGTTGACAGCACTCCTTAAAATAAATCAAAGTATTCTTTTGCAAGAACCCTAAAATGATATGACTTAATCTTTAATTATTAACCCATTTAGGATCCACAGATTTGGAACTGTCTTAGGAATTGCTAATTTCCTCTGCCACTTGGGAATAAGAGTATATAAATGTTTCTGGGAACCACTTCTCATGCAACAAACCCAATCAGCTAAGATATACCTCTTCCCTTTTTGCGCCAACAATAAGTGCCATTCTGTCCTTTCTGCTGCGGCATGCTTACAACTGTCCTGCGTTTCTAACCCTGGCTCTAATCCCGTCCACTTGCTCCAGGAGAGTAGTACCTATGTCTTGGACCATTCCTTATGACCCGCCCCTGAGAGCCTCTTCTACCCCGCCTCCTTGAATGTCCAGCCATAATTTATACGAGGTAAAACTTTATAATTGTCAGCTAAGGATTCATAGTAAAATAGGCACATAAAGTATCGCTCTGGGAGAAACACCTTTTCACATGCAGATGAGCTCCCCTGCCCAACCGCTTTGCCACCTTGAGGTTGGACTCGTCAGTCTGGGCTGGAAATCCAAGGGACTGAACCTTCCCCTGAGGGGATACTTCCCTCTCCTGTTCGCTTCCGTTTCTTTTCCCTCCATCTTTGGATTCCTGAGTCTGGGGAATGAAGAGAACCAACTGACCCAATTTTTTTTCAGTGGGAGAAAAAAGAGGTTGGTTTAAAATAGATGCTATTTCAAACCCACACCCCCGTCCTTACAGCCTGCTATAGCCATTTCCACCTCACCTCGTCTCTCCTCACAAAGTCCCTTACATCTGAAAGACCCACGAGTCTAAAGTCATATATCATGGTATTTATTCCAATTGAGATTGCTGACATTAGGAAAGCCCAGACCTCCCTGGGTCTCTGTTTTCGCATAAATCCCAAGCGCTCTTGGCCGACAAAAGTGTAGCTTTCGTTTAGACAGCAGGAGGCGTTGTCTCTGACTGCTAATATCCATTCCCCGCCCCTGCTGGCTCTCGCGGACTCTCGTGCGCAGGCGCGGCTTCGCGGATTGGCCTTGCGCGGGTGCCGTCATACGGTGGCGGGTCCCGGCCGTGGGGCTGGCGGGTTGAGGGGAGAAAAGATGGCGGCAGCGGCGGCAGCTGGTGCGGCCTCCGGGCTGCCGGGTCCGGTGGCGCAGGGATTGAAGGAGGCGTTGGTGGATACGCTCACTGGGATCCTGTCCCCAGTGCAGGAGGTGCGGGCGGCTGCCGAGGAACAGATTAAGGTGCTGGAGGTGACAGAGGGTGAGTGAGGAGGGACCGTCACGAGGATGGCTCGGACCTCGGCCGGCCGCACAGTCCGCTGACCGCAGCTCGGGACTGGCAGGGAACACGGGGAGCCTGAGCCTGTGGAGATCTGGGCCCCGTGGAGTGGGATAGGAAGGGAGAGCTTGGTGTCGCTGGTGGCTATGGAAGTCCCATAGAGGGGAGGCGCGTCTGCAAGGAGAGGGTCTGGGGAGGTGGAGCCTCGGGGGGAAGGGGAGGGTGGAGAGTGAAAGGATAGATGGAGCCTGGGATCTGCAGAGGACAGAGATGGAGCTCGACTCGGTGCTGTGGCTGTCGCGCGGTCTGGGAAATACTGTTTGAATTCAGCATCGGGGCCATGTGCTGTTCTCTTCAGCTCGGTTGTACTGAGGTTAGAGTACGGGGAGCTATTAGAAGTCCTGAGAGCGTAGGG